TTTACGCTTAAGCTTAGGCTCAGGCTTAGGCTTAGACTTCGGCTTAAGGGTAAGCTTAGGGTGAGGCTTAGGCTTAGGCTTAGGCTTAAGCCCAGGCTTAGGCTTAGACTTAAGTCTAGGCTTGCACTTATGCTTATTCTTATTCTTAAGTCTAGGCTTAATCTTAGGGTTAGGCTTAGGCTTAAGCCTAGGCTTAGGCTTAGACTTAGGCTTAAACTTAAGCCAAGGCTTAGAGTTAAGCTTAGGTTGAGTCTTAAGTCTAGGCTTAGGCTTAGGCTTAATGTTAGGCTTAGGCTTAAGCCGGGCTCAGGCTTCGGCTTAGGCTTAGGCTTAGAATTAGGCTCAGCCTCAACACGTCACAAAAGATCACCAGAGGGTAGCAGAGGTCACGAAGGTCAGAAAAGGTCACCGAAGGTTACGAAAGGCTCCGAGAAGCGTAAGCCTAAGTTTAAGCCCATGCCTAAGCCTGGGCCTAATTCTCAGGCTAAGCCTAGGCGTAAGCCTAACCCGAAGCCTAGGCTTAACCTTTGCGTAAGCCTGAGGCTAAGCCTTTCCCTAAGCCTAAACCTATGCCTAGGGTTAAGCCTACGAATAAGCCTGGGCCTAAGCCTAGGCCGAGGTTTGAGCCTAATTCTAAGCCTACTCTTAAGCCTATGCCTATGAATAGACCTAAGCCAAAGCCTAAGCCTAAGCATAAGCCGAAGCCTAAGATTGGGCCTAAACCTAAGCGTAAGCCTAAGTGTAAGCCTAAGAGTAAGCCTAGCTCTAAGCCTAATCCTAAGCCTAGAATTAAGATTAAGCCCAAGAGTATTCCTAAGGGTAAGCCTAAGGTCATGAAAGGTCACGAGATTGTTAAGCCTAAGCCTGAGGATATGCTTAAGGTCAGGAAAGGTCACGAGAGGCTTAGGCTTAGGCTTAGGCTTAGACTTAGGCTTACGCTTGGGCTTAGGCGTAGGGTTAGGCCTATTCTTATTCTTAGACCTAATCTTAGGCTTATTCTGAAGCTTACTCTTAGAAATACGCTAGGCTGAGGCTTAGTCTTAGACTTAATCCTATTCTTTATCAGAGGCTTAGACCTAAGCTTAGGATTAGGCCCATTCTTAGGCTTAGGCTTAGTCCTAGGCTTAGAGTTAGGGTTAGGCCTACTGTTAGTCTTAGGCCTAGGCCTAGGCTTAGGCTTAACACTTGGCTTAGCCTCAAAATATCGCGAAAGGTCGCCAGAGGTCAGGGAAGTTCACCAAAATCACGATAATTCAGCAAAGGTCACGAAAGGTCACCAAATTTCAGGAAAAGGTCACAGAAGTTCACGGAATGTTGCCGGAGCTTGTTCTCTTTCGAGCAGCGGTTTGACGGACCTTTTGAGTACGGTTGCCACTAAAGGAGTTGAAATTCGAGCTTCAGTGTTATTTAATACAGATGACTGTAGGTACCTGTAATTTATGTGAAGAAAACTGAAAAGATCTAGAGATTTTTCGAAGTAAAACTTACGTATCAAAGGTTGTTTTATGGCTCTTGTTTTACGATTTATCAATGGTTTGCTTTTGAACCTCCTTTGTTCGGGGCTGGAATTTTTTTTTCGGTTGATGTGGAATAATTAATGTTTGCAAAGCAACGGATAGAAACGACACTTTGCTTCTTATAAAGACAGTCAATTTAGTTCATGAAGAAATGTTCTCAAAAAGCCAAAAAGGTTTGCTTCTGCTTTTACGAAACTTTTGCCCGCAATAATGTTTCATTTTTTTTTTGTATACGCTGCAAATTTTAGTCACAGTGCGGTGTACAGAAGTTGGTCACTGGTTCTATTTTTTTTTT